CACAAATGAAATATACACAAAGGAAATGTACAAACAATGCTATGATATTCACTACTCACTGGTCATGCAATCTGATCCAGTAAAACCAGGTTTGCATTCACATCGGTGTGTCCCATCAGCAAAGTTGAATCGACATTTAAAGTTCCCTCCAACAGGGCACTTGCAAGTATTCTAAAGTTTAAAGCATGTGGAAAAAAAAGTTTAATATTCAGCCTTCTAAAAAGTTAAAAAGGAAGGGGTAGGCAAAACGGTTTTCGGTTCGGTTTTCAAATCAATAACTAGAAACAATCCAGAATCCAGTGTTTTCCATGAAACGTCTGTCACTCACAGCTAATTACTCAGAGTACCTACCTATGATGTTTAAAAACAAACAAAAACAAGCGATCGATACTCTTACCTTAGCACTTCTGTAGATGACACCAGGTCTGTACACTAGATCTTCAGGATGCATAAAGTGATCCGAGTCACTCAGCTCACACATGTCTTTCTCTCCACTCGCACTTGTACCAAAGCTGTAGGAGATACAGCGATCATCCAAATAGCACTTTACGTCGCAATCTGAGTCATCTCTGGTTTTCTGTGTTTTGAAGACATGATTGACCAGAGCTTTGTTATGAAGTTCATTAAACTCCATGACTTTACACCCATTCACTTCTTCTGTTTGAAATACGATAAGAAAGGGCTGAGTTTTAAATTGGTATTAATTGAGTAAACCCTTTTTATTTAAAATTATCGATGAAATATCTAATTTTCTCTGATGGCCGGGCTCCCTGTGTCTGAACGCGAGAAGATGAAACCCGCACTAATCCCCAAGGGGGCTCCCTGTTGTTGAGACTGTATTACTAGTTAGAGAGCTTAAGTTTCTCGTTTACGGCAAACGTGAACCGTTAGTTGACCATTAAAAAATTCTTTAAAATTAGTGAAAAGGAATTGCCAAAATATCCAAGTGGTAGATAAACAAAAGAATGCTTGTCATTATCGAGAAGGTTTGCAAAAGGTAAAGTGAAATGTAGGGAAACGATGAAAACGTGGTCACGTTTGCCGTTTGCGGGAAGGAGAAGCGGGAATCTTAATCTGCCTAATAGAGAGTTTTAGATTTACGTTCACGGCAAACGTGGAACGTCAGTTGACCAGTGAAAAATTATTTCAAATAGCTGAGAAAGAATCACAAAAAAGTTCAAGTAGCAGAAAAACAAAAGAATATTTGTCTTTGGTAAGAAAGTTTGCAAGAGGTTAAGTTAAATACAGGAAAACGATGAAAACATTGTCACGTTTGCGGTTACCGGGCAGAAAAATAATCAATCTAAAACTCTCTAATAGATCTACGCTCTAAGATATCACCTCGACACTCGACTATTTCCGCGCGGCCAAGTAATATTTCGCTCTCTTTCACTTTCATCAGTCAACTGGAATCAAATAACTTACAAATTTATTTAAACGATAGTTAAATCATGAATGACTTTACTTAGCTTTATATTTTTCTATGGCCTTGAAAAATATTCATTTTAACTCCAAAAATAATAATAACAATCTTGACTCCGCAAAAATCAACTTCTAAATTATCAATTGATCATTGGGTAGCCTTATCAAGTGGGCCGTAAAAACCTTTAGGCTATCCCTCCACCATATGGAGTGGTAAATCCGATTCAGATGCAGATAACTTACCGAATAGGAGCATCAAGATAAGATAGAAGATACACATGA